AAGTACTACTCATACTTTTTTTTTTTGCAATGTACATATGTATGTGTGCAAGTGTGTGTGTGTGGCCTGGCAAAGTAGACAGACGCCAGTAGTCAACTCCAACTGGATTGTCGGTTAATAAAGTAGCTGAATGGAGGGAAAACCCCAAAAAAAAAGAAGTACTCACGACAAAGAGAAAATGCAGCCACAAAAAGCAATGCTGAGTTGTGGATATAAAAAAAGAAACGAAGAACCCGGAAAAAAATGCAAAAGGGGAGCAAACAGCAGAAACACACAAGCAGCCAAGACCAGAAAACTAGAACCAGAAAAAAAAGCGCGGCCGCTGCTGTTTCGGCCCTTTTTATCGCTGCAAGGTCCTTGCACGTTGGCAGCATAATTATGAAAAATTATGTATGTATTCGCAAAAAAATAAAAATAAAAATTAAGAGTAAAAAATTGTAGGCACTGAAATTATAAAAAACCCAAAGGAGTCAAGTAATTTATTGTAAACAGCTACAACAAAAACGCGCCAAGCAACTGACTCCACTGAAAGAGAAACGGAAATGCTGCTGAGCTTCCTTTATGGCCATAAAAGAAACAAAAAAATAAAAATGAATATAAAAAAGTTTGCTCGAAGGCGTAGTACTTAGTGGCAGTGCACACAGTAAACAATAACAACATTCAAAAAAAAAAAAAAAACAATGGCAATGCGCAAATGAATGAAAGAGAAAATACTTTATTACAATTACTGCGCTTTTTATTCTAGTCCAAAGTTATTTTATTTTTTTTTTTAGTTTTATTTCTGCTTTACTGCTTCTGTGTTGCCAGCATTGTTCCATTTTTATTTTCACACAGCCACACGAAGTGCGAAAATTTATTATTACACAAAAGTTGTTCTTTTGCGCCTTGGTGCATATTTCAGTATTTTCTTTTTTGTTTGGATCAATATACATACATACACACTTACATATATGTACATATGTATGTGTGTATGAAGACATTTATGTTTTAGGCAAAAGCGGGCGGTTGCAAGGCAAAAGTTTTTGGCATGATTGTCAGCACGTTGTTTTTTTAATTACCCTAATTATGATTATTAATTGCACCGTTGTTTGCTTGGCGGCGGCGACGGCGGCGGCGTTTTTTTTGCCAGTTCTGCAAAAGTCAAGTCGTCACAATAGTTTGGCTATTATTAAAAAAGTAAAATACAAAAAAAAAAAAATATACATAAATATGTAAATGGAAAAAATGCAAGTGACTAAAAAATAATTTGAGCTGTGGCAGTTAATATTTGACTTTTGAAGTACGGCGTCGCCGTTTAGGCGCTGTGAAAAGTTAATTGTTCCTTTTTACTGAAAAGCGATGAAAAAATTTCCATTTGGTGAATATTTGTTGTAGTGCCAAAATATTTGTAGCCACTCAAATAGGTGATGAAGAAAGTGGCTCTCAATAATACAAGCTAGCAATCAAAATTATGGGTTAATTAGTTTTAAAATGACAACTCTGCACAAAATATATCAGTGTAAGAATTTGTTTTTTTTTATAAATTTTTTATAAATTTTTTAGAGCTACTATTCAACACTCTCATATCCAGAGTGTTAAAATTTTAAATTGATTAGTGCAATCGGGTATCAGATCCCTTAAAATAATAATAATATTTTGGCGTTTAGACTTTTGCAAAGTCTAAGGCCGAGGTTCTCCTCCAATTAGTGGCGCGCGCCTTGATGTTCTAACACAAATGGAGGGGCCTACATTTTTACACCGCCACCGAATAGCAAATGGATTTTGTGATAGGTTTTTTCTTGACATAAAATTAATTTTATATATGTATAGTATATATAATTATGTATGTAATATTATTGCCCAAAAAGTACGATGTATTTCCAAATAATTTGTCCACCTTCAATGTCCAAGCGAGGTGCTTTTCATGCCTTTGTAATCATCTCTTTCTCCCCTACTGTAGCCAATCTGCGCAACGAAGCCGAAAAGCGCATTTTACCTGTAATTTTCCGTCAGCAGAAAGTTTAATTTAAAAAGTTTAAAATTTACAGCAAATCAGTATTTGCTAACATCAATTTGCTGCACCAGAATCGAAAGCGCATCTACGCTTTCTACCGTCCTCCCATTCCACTTTTCTAAACAACAAAAAAAAAAAACAATACATCGCATAATAAATTTGTGCGAAATTAAAATGCAAAATTTCATTTCAGACAAATTATTGCCGTTTTGGTCACACAATTGTTCCACCGACGAAAAATACATTTCGCTCCTCTTTTTTGGGTTTAAACGCTTCATTTGCTTGCCACACAGCATAGTTGGTTATTCTAACGGCTGGACAGCTTTGTGGCAGAGTGGAAGGCTAAAATATTTGGCTATGCAACAAAAGTTTGTCGAAGATCGTAAATTTGCACTGTTGTGGCTGTGGCGGCGTTTGTGGTGGAGGCTGTGACTTTGGTTAGAAATCTGCTGTTATTTGCTGCAGATCGAATTCGGAGGTGTGAAGCATTGCTAAAAGATGGACACTGGGCCAAAATTGCATGAGATTGATGGGGAATTTAATTATAGCGAAAATTCGCTATATTCGCATGCCTCCATTTCTTAGCTCTTAAGAATTAAATAATGATTAAGTTGCATGAATTAATTCACTTCGATACTTGCTACTTGTACTCCGTAGCTTCACAACTCTAACAAACAGAACAGCTCATTATGTACTTTTTAACCGTTTAACCACAGCAGCCATTCAACTGACACCTGCGCGCCATATTATCCCGTCTAGTTTGCTATGTCATCGCCATGTTTTTCGGCTAACCGCATTCGCATCACAAACTACCTCAATGCTATTCCTGTCAATCCTGCTGATTGCCCAGCAAAACACAATTCGAATTCAACCTGCTAAAGGTGCAATAGACACCACAGCGGTGGAGGCAAGGTGTTGCACGAGCTGACACAATAACCAGCATTGCCATTCTGGTGGCAATCGGCCGCATATGCCGCCCACTAGCGCACTTCGTCGAGTCCATTAAACCTCGTCAACACGGTTGAACACAATCAACAAATGAGATTGCGGATGTGGCTGTGAACACAGTTTGAACTGCTAACAATTTGCCATATCAACACATGCAACTCACCAACCACCCAACCACCCACCCACAAACACACACACACACACTTTCCACTCTACTGCGCTGTCGGTAAATAATTTTTTGACTTTTGTAAATGCCTCGACCTCTTTTGCGTGTGTTCCGTGTAGACTCAAGCACGTGTGCGACGTCATGTTTGAGTTTTATTGTTGTTGTTATTGCTAGCATGCCACTAGCTGTTACACTGCCGCTATTGTATATCTGGGGTTGTTGTTGCTCTTGCTGCCTTCAACGCCTTTGTTAAGCTGAAAAGGACTTTTTCATTCTCTCCATATTTACCTTCTTTTTCTCAGCCAGCGTTTAGTCCTTTGGCCATCTTCTGTCCATTCGTCCGCACCTGCGCGCTGCCAAGTAGTCCAGCCAATATTTACAGTTAGCAACCTTTGCAGCCGGTGCAGTGTTTGTGTTTTGCAAGCAGCGCATATGGCATGCGGCGGCCACCACAGATTGAAAGAATCGCACGGAAGAAAAAAGTGAAAGCCGTGAAAAAGGGGTAAGAAGTTGGCGCAAGGACCAGCCGACTGTTTAGCTGGCACATTCACACGCTCTTTGCACTCGTAGACACACACACGAGCACTTGCCCAGAGAGTCTATTGCGGGCGTTGTTGCCACAAATGCTATTTGCCTCGCCTGAAGTCTGAAGTTTGTAAGGACTCATGGCGCGAGGACGTGAGTACACAAATATCCATATTTCACAAGGATAAGCGCATTGCAGCAAATGTCGTCATAGTTTACACTAACACCTGCATAGCTACATAAACAAACAGATGTCTTGCAGTGAATAGAGGCAGCTCACTCCTACTACTGAGGCACCTTGCGCACTTGCAAACTTCTTGTTGTTTTGTTTGCTTTCGCTAGGGCGCTAGTCACCTTGAATTCGAGGTGTTTACAGTTTTGCCATCTATCCCCCGCCAGCTGAGAGTGTGTTGATTGCTTGAATGAGCACCGACCAGTTGTACGCTTTTTTACTCCTTGCTGTAGTTGTATCAGTTCGTATCATCTACAAGCGCCGATAAATTGTCGCATCAAGCTCCAATGCCTTGGCTGTTAGTCTTCATAAAAATAAAAATTCCCAGCTTCGCAAGTCCATTGATTTCATCACACTTTGCCGGATGCGCCGGCATTGGCACTACGCCCAAACTATTGTCACGGAGCAGCAACTGCCAAGCCAAGCAGCAACACCACAGTCCCAGCGCCACCCAGCGCTCACCCGATTCGGCAGTGACTTCCTTCTATGGCCGGACACTATGCTTTCCGTCGTGTCACCGCTTTTTTGTGCCACCTCTATTCGATGTGGTGGCGCTGGCTGGTCAGGCAAGTGTAATAAATTTGCGCACCATAAAATCTTTGCGGAAAAATAAAGTATCCAGCCAGTCAGTCGAGCAGGCAGTCAGGCGGCCAGCCTGTAATCGAATGGCTTCACTCGCCTGCTCGCCTCTGCGTGCAACGCATGGCCTGTGTGGCAGCAGCAGCACAAAGATTTTGTCGCCGAGTCAACGCAGCGTAAACTGAAGCAAAAGTTACTGATGTTCGTGCAGAATTTATTGCGCGCACGCTGATTCGCTTTGACTATCTGGAAAGTCGCCTATGTTTGTGCGCCCTTAGGGTCAGTTGGGCCATTTGGGGGCATGCCAACGTCAACGCGCAGCAAATTGTTTCCAAATGGAAAGAAGACAAAGAGATCGAGAAAAAATGCAGTTTTTTGTTGACAGGAAACTTTAATATTTTGACTTTTTGATGCATCACTGATTTCTGTGTTATTATCTACATTCGAATATATGGCATTGCAATATGTCACAGTATTTGTCAGCCTGTACTTGTACAATTAAAACTTTAACCCTTTCAACTTATTTACAACCATGTCTTTTCTTCTGTTACAGATCTCCACTGCACCAAATGCAACGTTGTACCGCCACACACTTGCCGTTCATTTGTCGTTGAGCAGAAACCGTCCCTGTTTGGTCGGACACCACACAGACACCTCGTTCTAGTTCGACGCAAGGCGGGCCTTTTAATCATCGCAAATTCCCCGAAAACGCGGCAACCTGATGACTATGGCAGAAGGCACCGACCCCATGGGGCATCAGGCGGGTTCCCATCATCACCATCACCACCATCAGCACCATCAGCACCATGCGACTCATCAGCACCACCATCCGCACCACCACCATCAGCAGCAGCAGCTGCATCAGCGCCAACCGCCGCATCCACACTATGCGCCATACGCCGCTGCTGCCGCCGCCGCCGCCGCTGCCCACATGCAGTATCCGCTGCCACAGCATCTGCCACTGGCGCTCAGTATGCAACAGCAAGCTGCTGCAGCAGCAGCCGCAGCTGCCGTCGCTGCCGAACAGGTGAACAACAACCAACCCTTTGTGGCCAACAACAATGTGCCGTGGAAGCAACGCAAACGGAAACGTCTGTCCGCCGTGCTGGATAAGCTGCATAACCACAACAACCATAACAGCAGCAGCAACAGATTCGCCAACAATGGTAGTGGCAACAATAATAATAACAACAACAACGTTGGCGACCACAGCAATCACAATCACAGCCATGACGAGCCATTGGATGGCGATGAGGATGTCGAGAATGAGGCTAATTACAAGCACCGCACTAACAACAACAGTATGGGCAGCAACCACAATGTGAGCTCGAAGCGTCAGAACTGCGGCGAAGACAGTGGGAAAGCGCCAATGAGCAATAAACGTTCCATTAGTGAAGTGAGCGGCGATGAAGCCGACCAAGAGCCTGAATGTGACGCTGTGTCGGAAGACCTGTCGCATGACAACGACAGTCCGCGCATCAGCATGAGTCCACTGCAGCTGGTCTCTTCACGCGATAGTCCGTCGAGTGCGCCCCACCCCGTTGTGGTCGCGGCGACTTCCACTCCCAGTGATAACCCGCTGCACGTCGACATCAAGACTGAGCACATGCACAATCCCTATGATCGTTACTTTCCCATACCGTCACCACTCTTTGGCTACTACTTGCACACCAAGTACTTGAATGAAGTATTTCGGCGACGGCAGGATCTCTACACGTCACCCATGCAGCACACGCCTTCGTCCATTGCCTCGTCAATCGCGGATGAGACTTCGCCCACAAGCTTGCCGAATGCGGGTGCTAATCTGGACCATCCTCCTCCGTTCCCACCCACGTCGACAGCCACTGCTCAGGTCGCCAACGTTGGTTCCGGTCGTTCGCCGCCGCCAGCCGTCACCGTCGCACTCCCTTCACCGCCACGTAGCGATTCGTCGGTCACTGCGACTTCAACGGCCAATACGCGCTGCAGCCCCTCACCAGCTACACAAGCTAACACCTCGGATCCGGCCATCATGCCGCCACCGCAAGATCGTCCCTTGGATCTGTCGGTACGCAGCGGTGGCACCACACCCACCTCCGAGCNGCGCTCCTTCGCTCGCTCGGATATGCTCACACGCCACATGCGTCTGCACACGGGCGTCAAGCCCTACACCTGCAAAGTATGCGGTCAAGTCTTCTCACGTTCCGATCACTTGTCCACCCATCAGCGCACCCATACCGGCGAGAAGCCATACAAGTGCCCACAATGTCCGTATGCCGCGTGCCGCCGAGACATGATTACGCGGCATATGCGCACGCACACACGTTACGAGTCGCAACAGCGCGGCGGTGGTGGTTCCAACCACAGTGGCGCAGGCGGTGAGGTGGGTGGACCATCGAAATCACCCTTGCCGCTGCTGAGCGATATGAAGATGAATTTACCGTTGCTGTTGAAGAGTGAAGAGCTAGCGGGTAAATCGCCAATGCACGGCGGTATCGGCGGCGGACTGCCGATCGTGGTGAAAACAGAGAGCGCCTAGTGGCGGCATTATACCTATAGGGGCTGTAAGGCATAGGTGCTGTAGAAGAAGGCTCTCCTATGGAGAGCTATAGAGCAGAGATTACTAGAAGTGTATACACATGATATCCGTGAAAAGTGAAGCGAAGTGTAGAATATCTACTAACTATACAGAGTATGCGTAAAGAGTAGCTAAGTTGGGTTGATAAAGTAACTGTAAAGTATGTAGAGGATGAAATGAACATTTTATTTTTCGGAAATCTCTTTGTAAAGACTGAGACTAATTTAAGCGTTGTAATGAATTTAGGTGTATTTGTTTTTTTTTTTTGTAAAGAAGACATGAGAAAGCTACAAGAAAATGTTTGAAATGGTGCAAGCTTGTATGTATAGTTTATTAAGTGTAAATAGCTGACGCTGAGTGGCGGTGAGATGCGGAACACTCTCGTTAAACTCGAATAATCGAATGAATCGAATAGGCTTCGCGCGTAGGAAGAAATTGAATTGAAAGCTTCGATCGGAGGTGACTCGGCGTGACGCTTAGAGAGCTTACACCAGCGGCAATGAGAGAGAGTTTTCACTTTGTGCGCGTTCGTATCTTACCAATAGAAAGCTTTAGAAAGCTTCACCAACGGGATATATTTCGATGGCGACTGGCTTAGCTTAAATTCTTTCTCGTTCGCTTCTTCTCACTGAGCATCCGCTCATCCGTCGGCGTTGTCGGTATTGAGGCCAAATTTGATATTTTAACTTATTAACAGTACGATTGCGTACTAAAATTTTAGTTTTAAGTGAAATGGTTGTGAACGGCAATTCAGCATTGTTTCGTTTTTTCCCAAGCACAAGCATTTTTCTCTCCTTATCTCCCTCTCTATCTCGGTTTTCTTCACATTCACGAAACGACGAAACAAACAAAAAAGCTAGTAATTTAAGAGCTTATTGACACATGTATGTACACTTTAATTTTAAGTTAAATAATCATTTGCTAATTACATAGTTGAAAGCGAATAATTGGATTTCATTAGTTTTACAATCTAAGTTAACAAATTCGTAACTTATAATCGACACACACATTTGAAAAGCCCACAAATTAATTTTAGGTATAATTTCTATTGGTAAAAATCCCAACTATATGGCATCGTAGTAGATATGCGTTAGTAATTTATTCTAATTTTGTAAGCTGCTTAAATTTAAGTTACAAAATATATTTAATTATTATTTATTGCTAGTGAAAAAGGTGTGTAGGCCTAATACACACAAAAATGCAAGAAAAAAAACATTGTATTACTACGAAAAAGTGAAGACAAAAAGAGAACGAAGCGACAAAAGACAAAGAATGCGCGCTCTTTCCCCTCACAAGCGCTCAAAACGCTGAAGCAGCGCTCTAAGTCCAATAAAAAAAAATTCCAACTAATACCTAGAGACCTTAAAGCTGGTTAACAAAAACAAAAATTCCTAAAACTTAATTTAATTATTGCGATGTGTGACTCTCTTAATTTATTTTTAAAAAAGCTAAATTTAATTTATATTTTGATTCATAAAATGAACTAAAACAATTTTTTTTTCCTTCTTTCTTAAGGCGTTCTTTATACATACATACATACTTGCATTCTTGCGTGCATGCATTTAGTTTTTGTTGTTGTTTTATGTTTGTTACACAACCGTATGTTAAATAGTGGAATTGCTAAGCGACAAAAAGACACACAACACAAATCCCAGTTTGATTAGCTACTTTTTATGTACGAATACTTTTTGTTGTTGTTTTCTCTTTTTTAATCAATGTAAACACAAAAGACGACACATCTTTGCCAAGCCTTTTAGGTTTGCAATGAAGCAAATATTTTGCTAATCTTTTTGTTTTGTACATTAAAAGTTTTTTTGTAATTTATCACTATGAAGTGAATATTTTTTTTTTCTGTTGCACCAAAAAAAAAAAACTCTTTATTGTGTTTGTAATTCTTGCTATTTCTATTATATAATTGTCAATGTTTTCTATGAAATCTGTTAAAATGTATTTTATTGAACTTTTGTTTAAGTTTAACTACTTCACACACACACACACACACAAAAGACAATCCACACATGTGACTACATACATACATACATACATACGTGTAAGTGAATTTTGTATGTCATTTGCTTACTACCTACCTGTTAGTTTATGTTAAATTGCATTAATTAATTTTTAATTTGTTTAAGCTGTTATTTATTAAACTTGAATTTAAATGTAACATTTAGTTTTGCTTTTAGTAATTTATATGAAAATAAACCTTGGTTATGATTACTTTGTAATAAATGCTATTGTTTTTTTACTTAAATTAATAAAATGAACAAATCAACTTTTGCATTGAAAAAAAAATAAATGAATTTTGTTTTTATTTACCGCTTTAGTTTTTGATTTACTTAATTTGAGTTTTGCTTCATTTGTTTGACTTTGCAACTATTCGATGGCAGCGCTGGCGAGGCCTAAGAAAATTGACAAAGAGGCCTCGAAAGAAACACAGTAAAGGTTATTTTGTATCTCCTTATTTGAGTAGATGAAGCTCAGCAGTTGAAAAGTCCGGATTGCGATGTAATCAAATCGATGCCCAGCATAAGTTCGCCCACATACGAACGCATGTCAAGTACTGAAGACTATGAATGATAGAAAAAAATTCACTTCTTTTTGCACTTTTTCTGCGTTTGTTGTAACCTCGTAGATTTTGAGGGCAAATTCTGCAAAGTCTTCTATTCTGACAAGTAATATTTAATTGCATTGACATTTCTTCGTATAAAGTATGCTCTAAAACTAAGGATGTAATTCTTCACAAAGCTTATTAGAAGTTAGTATAGATTGAGTTAGGTGGTAGTTTTACACAGCCGATGACACGCTTGGACCTCATAAATATGTATGTAGAGGTTGCCCCTTGTGATACCACCAGACCTTGAGTAATAAAAGATGAAACCTCGCGAGTCAATCAGGACCAGAAAACTGCTCAGGGTTGGTTAACTAAGCGCTAGCCACGATACATGCAGCTTCAAATTTTTGCAGCAATTTTGGAGAATATTCACTTCTATGAGCTGGTACCTCAGAGGTAGTCCCACACTGATTTTGTTTAGATCCGATCATTGGATTACGAAAAGGTTAACGATAATCTTAAATCTTGTATATGAGAATTGAAGTCAAAGTTTGTTTTTTTGCTTAAAAATTGCTTGCTAACCGACCTAAAAAAGGATGAGGTTATCAATTCGTCGGAATATTTTTATTTCAGCTTAATGCTGAATAACGCCCCTTCCAACATTTTGTTTACTTCCTTTCTTCCTATAATGAATGAAACATCGCAGTAACCAAAATTTGTATGAAAAAATTGATAAGACCTTATAATGAGATGTGTAACCGCGAAAATAATTAATATTCAGCATGTGGGCATGATACAAAACTTGTACGGCAGGTAATTGGAAGGATTTTAAAATATTTATGTAGAAGCATGAATCGTTTCAAGCTGAACCACTTACTCTAAAATTCCATATGCCCCCAACTCGTTCATTTTGTAAGCCTGTTGTCTGTTTTGTTGTGAAGTTTGTTTGCTGTTACATTATTCCAAAAACAAAATGATTCTTCATTTTTTGAAAACATAAATCCGAGCGTTACGCGGCATTCAAAGGCAATGCACTTTTAACGACGGCTTGAACCTCCGTCAGTCTGATTGAGGTAAACAAGTTGTATCGTAACTTTTTCAGAACATTCACCTAATTTAACTGAAAAAGTCGAGTTTAACTGAATTCAAAATTTAGACCCTCGGGGAATTCGTGAAACGCCATCCACTTGAAATTGCTACTGCCGCCTGAGAAATTAATTTTCACTTTGGTACAGAAAAAAGTTCCTTAAAACGAAGAATCAGTGTAAGTGAAAGGCTTCAGTAAAAGCGGTAAGCGGTGGAACCTCTTTGTATTCGAAATGCTCGTCTATAGCCATATTCATTTCTTCGAAAATTTTCGTCTCGCAGGATATTCTTCAAATAGGAGTATAGAGACTGACCTTGCAATTGAATAGTAAATTCCACTGTCAAGCTTTATATATGGTCAGCATTAACATAACCGATTAAAGTTAAGTCTTAGTTGTACTTTTATATCAGAATCTCATTTTTGAGAAAAGTACAGATAGAGTGTATTGAATATAAGCCCTCGATTTGCTTCTCTAAGTACAAAATTTAATATTTAAAGGGTTAGCCTTTGGGTAAGCTCGTCTTTGAGCTTTCGGATATTTGGGGGCGCCTAGAATACAAATGTATGTTGAAAAGGCAAATAAATTGCAAAAACTTCGTTCTATCAAACCCAATTTGGGCAACAATTACTGATGGCCATCATAAACTGCTGCGGCGAACAAATGACCGCAAATTCCAACTAAAGCACAAAAACAATTTTCAAAAATAAAAAAAATTTATTTCTAGGCCCAAAATGCGAAGTGAAAAGTGATAAAGTTAGCAGGCGATGTGGCGTCATTAAGATTTATGTCAAATTGTCAGCGCTGAAACAATGAACCGCACAGGGGCGAATAGTGACTGTTATGTTGGTGCTTTATGTGTTGTGCCTGTCACTGGGGAGCTTTGCAGCAACACTCAGAATGATGTATGTATGTGCCGCCGCCGCCGCCGTGGTGTAGCAGAGTTGCAACAAATGTAAGCCAGCAACAAATACAAAGATCTCTCTAAGTGGTGGTGGTGGTGGTGGTGGTGGTGCTGCTGTGTGGCATTCATCAGCGTCGGATTAGTCATGGTGGGCACTTTCGCACAAGCAACAACAATACAATAAAAGCTTATGTTTACATACACTTAGTAACGGCACAAAGCCGCGTTGCATTTGGTGCATGTTGCAAGCGCATCTCGCTGATTTTATGTGACAGTTTGGTGGTGGTTGTTTAGGCTACACAGGCATTCAATCATTGCTTTACAAAATTTACTAATTTTGCGTTTTGCTGGTGGTTAATTAAGTTCCTAAATGCTCGAAACAAATGACATAGAATTTTGATAAGTCAGTCGCTTTGGTGGTGGCTAAGTGTTGAGACGCATCAACAATTTTATGGAGATTGAATTAGTACTAAGCACATTTATTTATGTATGCTGTTGCTCAAGAAGAAGAGAGAACTTTTAAAATTTTTCGATTCAAGTTTTTGTGCTATAAAATACATTTAAGGATTTTATTTGAATTCCACCCTTAAGCATACCCAGGCTTCAATTCCACTAAGTTCCAGGACAGAAAATAATCGTATTAACTTTATGAAAACTTTTCTGCAACCAACAAATCCGATACCTTCTCAACCTCCACTTGGTAGCCTCTCGCCCCGGCCCGCTACTTCGAAACCCTAATTTGCATTGTGGTGGTCGCACATCTATTCGCTTTTGCGTTCACTCGTTTAGCGATTTGAGCTTGGGAATAGGGTCAAAAATTCACACTGCAAATCTCCGCATTGCAGCTTTTGTGCCGCCAACTCCCTGCCCTGCCCACACCCGCAAACACCGTCACGTAATTATAAATACAAACAGAGTCGTCACCGCCATCAGAGCGGCAGCAGCAAGGACCGTCGTCGCGCATGTCGTGTCACAGTGTAATTAAGGATGCACCCTCTACATTGGCTCGCAAATGCGCCAAAGCCACAGCCATGAGCACTGCTAAGCAACCTTCCTCCCCCACCAACTCAACTACTCCTCAACAAAGTGCATGCTGGCGCGCATTCCTACATCCCTTTGGCTCAGGCGTGGGAATTTACTTTCACTTTTCACTTTTCGCCTTTTGCCGCAGTCACTTGTCGTTGCTTAACGATTTCCTGCCTCAATGCTCTGCCGCAGTTGGTTTGTTTGTATGCATGTATGTATGTGTGTGTTAGCATGGTTTTATAATTTCTCCGCCGCATTCTGTAGGAATTTCTTCTATTTTTTCGATCCGCCTTCTTGCGTCATGGTTGCAAGTTAGATGGTATTTAAAGGCTTTGCGATTGTTCGCGTTTGTTGTTCGACTTTGGTTTATTTCAAAGTTGGCACAACTCTTTTCGTTGTTTTCTTTTCAAGAAACATGCAATGTTGTCATCCCCAAATTCGGGTGGAAATAGTTATCTTATACATGCATACATATGTGTGCTTAATGTATGTATGTATGGATGTATAATTATAGTTTATTTCAAATTGCAAAAAAATTTAAAAAATCAATTACTGATAAGCACCTTCATTGTTCCCCATCCATTTATTGATGCCACTGTATATATATTCCTCGGCATTATCTATTATCGCCTCATGGTTTTACTTTATTATAAACTAGCAAATACCCGGCGTGCTTTACTGCGCCCTAAAAGTATTTTTGTGCTCTTTGATACCCGTATTGTAATATTTGACTTATTTTACCAATTTAATTGAATACAATTTTTTAAATAGGTGGTAACACTCCTTAAAAAATATTTTCGGTAGTAAAATTTCCTATTAAATTTTTTTTATCCATAAAATTCAATTAAAGTTTC